AGGTCAGTACAGTAAGTATGATTGGAACGAAAATGAATAAAATAAATAATATTAACCTGGATAGGAAACAGTCTGTATAGGTTACAACTTACTGAAAGCCATTAGTGAAAAAGTGTGGTGCAAGTAAACAAAGGGTGAACGAGTAGTCAAGTATGCAATTTTAGATCGGTTTGATTTTAAATTGGTTCCACATTAGCTAGTGCCATTACCTTCGATATCTCCTGGAAATTCATCGGAGCCGGCAGGAGGAGGAGGAAGCCACATTATTATTTGTGTGCCATGTGTGTTAGCTGCTGAGGTTACGTCTACATAGATCATTTGCATTCCTACAAACGTGGTCCTCAATGCAATAAATAAATGGACTGGGGATTAATGCAGGCCAGGCTGAAACCGCAGATCTCAATCTGGAAGGTTCTCCACGCGGAAAATTCTCTTTTAGTGTTACTGCGTACGGACTGGCCCTCTTAGAAAACGGCATGGGAGATCTGGTCTGCGTATGGGCTGGCTCTCTTAGAAAACTGCATGGGAGACCTGGTCTGCGTATGAGCTGACCCTCTTAGGAAACGGGATGGGAGACCTGGTCTGCGTGTGGGCTGGCCCTCTTAGGACACTGCATGGGAGACCTGTTCTGAAAAGACCCAACACAAGCAGTCCCCTTAGGCAGAGTAAGGTGAACTTGACGTGCGTAGGTCCTCGGTACAGATCACGCAGGCTCCGCTATCTCCCGGATATCCACTGATGCATTGAGAGATAGGGCAAGTGCGGCCGTAGCCTGTGCGACACTTTCTAACTACTATGTAGAGCATATTCGCTATGATCATTTTAAAAACTCAGTTTATTTCTAGCGGCCCGGTGTGAGGGCACAAGCTCTTACCTTTCTCGCTTTTTCTTCAGACAGACCTTGCTTCTGCATGATAGTCGTTGAAATGGCGCCAGGGCTGCAAGAAAAGCTATTAGCGTACAGAACTGTCGAGCTGTTGTGATCTCGAAAATAGCTGTTCCAAGTGGGTGATTAGCGCCAAAGGTTTTAAGAGGAAGATAACCACATATAATAGTAAAAAAAAGCCATGGAGGATCCCGATCTTACAGTTGAGCTGATGTGATTATGAGGGCGCCGGTAAAGTTCCTGCCAGAAATAGATTATGAAGGAACCATTTTGGAAGCCTTCTTAAACTACCATAAAAGGGTACTAGCTTCTTGTATGCGCTCTCTTTTCCTTGCTTATTCAACCCTGTAATGACGAACTGTCTTCTCATAAACGACACGCACTTCTTTTCGTGTTCGAATCCATCCAGTCTGCTGTCTGCGTTTTTTGAAAACTATTCGTACTATTAGGCCCTGAAACTCCTTCTCAGTGGTCCATGCGCTCCTGGTTCAAACGCTGGTAACAATTTACTCAAACTTAACTTTCGCTCTCGTCGACTACGTGCGACATCGTCCGATGCACTAAAGAAATTGAGAATCAGGAAACTATGTGGCAACGTCCTTGAACATTATTTTTATCTCATCCTGCAAAATTTTGCGAAAAATCTGATTTTTCGAAGTATTTCGAAGTTTCTTCCGATTGTCCCAGTATCATTTCACTATTATTTCGTATTTT